CATATATAAATTTAAAGAAAAAAACTCACATGATTATGTCAATCAATATAGAAAAGGTCTTTAACAAAATCCAACATGCCTTCATGATAAAAATCATAAACAATGGTCACCAGTCAGTAGTGGCCCATGCCTTTAATCCCAGCACTTGGAAGGCAGAGGCAGCCTTCCAAATCTCTGTGAGTCTGAGGCTAGCCTGGTCTACAAAATAAGTTCCAAGACAGCTAGGATTATTACACAGAGAAACCCTGTCTCAAAAAGCAAAAACAAAAATAAAACAAAACAAAAGGTCATAGAGAATGCAGGGCTAGAGGGAGCATACCTCAACATCATAAAGCTATATATGGAAAAACCCACAACCAAGATCATCATAAATGGAGAAAAGCTTGAAGCAATCCCATTGAAGTCAGGAATAAGACAGGGATATCCACTATCCCTATTCCTTTTCAATATTGCTTTTGAAGCACTATCTGGAACAATATGGCAAGAGAAGGAAATTAAATGGTTACAAATAGGGAAATAAGTCAAACTATTCCTATTTTCAGATGACTTATTATAGATTAGATATTCTACCAGAAATTCTACCAGAAAACTTCTAGAAATGATAAATTCAGCAATGCGGTAGGATACAGAATCAACCTGCACAAATTAATACCTTTGCTACATATTAACAACAAACATACAGAGAAAGAAATCATGGACAGACTTCCATTCACAATAGCATCAAAGAAAATATCTAGGAATAAAGTTGACCAAGGAAATGAAGGACCTCTATAATATAAACTTTAAAGGTCTGAAGAAAGAAGTAGCAAAAGACATCCCATGATCATGAATTGATTGAATTAATATTGTAAAAATAACCATTTGACCAAAAGCTATTTACAAATTCACAACAGTCCCAATCAAAATCCCCATCTCATTCTTCACCAAAATAGAAAATGCTATCCTAAAATTCATATGGAATCACAAAAAAAATAGCCAAAACAATCCTAAGCAAAAAGAACAATGCTGGATAAATTACCATTCCATATCTTAAGATATATTACAAAACCATAATAATAAAAACAATATGGAGCCGGGCGGTGGTGGCGCATGCCTTTAATCCCAGCACTCGGGAGGCAGAGCCAGGTGGATCTCTGTGAGTTTGAGGCCAGCCTGGGCTACCAAGTGAGTTACAGGAAAGGCGCAAAGCTACGCAGAGAAACCCTGTCTCGAAAAAAAAAAAAAATATGGTACAGGCACAAACAGACATGTCAAGCAATGGGAAAAAAACATTGAAGACCCAAACATGAGTACACATAATTTCATCTACTTAATATTTGACAAAGATGGCAAAAACATAAGTTGGAGAAAAAGGAAACATCTTCAACAAATGGTGCTGGGAAAACTGAATGTCCATGTGTAAGAAGACCTGGATCTCTCATCTTGCACAAAAACTAACTCCAAGCCAGGTGGTGATAGCATACGCCTTTAATCCCAGCACTCAGGAGGCAGAGCCAGGTGGATCTCTGTGAGTTTGAGGCCAGCCTGGTCTACAGAGTGAGATCCAGGACAGGCACCAAAACACACGGAGAAACCCTGTCTCAAAAAACAAAAAACAAAAAACAAAAACAAAAACAAAAAAAATTAACTCCAAGTGTATCAAAGATCTGCAATACTGAAAAAAAGGCTGAAAGAAAACATGGGCAGTACCCTACATGAGATAGGTGTGGAAAAGGACTTTCTGTATAGGACTTCATTTGTGCAAGCATTAAGGCCAACAAACTGACAAGTGGGACCTCAAGAAAACTAAAAAAAACTTCTGCCCTGCTAAAGAAACAACCAGGTGAAGAAGCCCACAGAATGCAAAACAATCTTTGCAAGCTATGCATCTAACAGAGGTTTAATATCCAGAATATACAAAGAATTAAAAAAACAAAGAGTCAAAAAAAGACCTATTCAAAAATTGATACTGGGTATGGTGATATTTCATTTGTACTGAAATATGATTTTATTTGTATGTTAATAAATAAAGTTGCCTGAGGGTCAGAGCTAATAGCAAGCCATAGCAGAAGTCTGGCAGTGGTGGTGCACACCTTTAATCCCAGCACTTGGGAGGCAGATCTAGGCAGATCTCTGTGTGTTCAAGGATATAGCCAGCATGTAGACACATGCCTTTAATCTTAATACCAACCATAGAAGACCTGGAGGTCTGTACAGACAGGCAGTGACGAGGAGGTCATGTGGTTGGGTTTACAAGCAATGAGAAGGCAGAACAGAAAGTCAGATACACAGGAATAGGTCTCTTTCTGAGGGGAAGGACGACAGTGGCAGCGAAGGGTAAGAAAGGTTTTTTAGTATCAGCTCTTAGCTACTGCTCTGACCTCTTGGGCTTTTAACTCTGCATTTGGCTCTGTGTTTCTTATTTAATAAGACTGTTACATCTACATCTGGCGCCCAATGTTTGTGGTATGAATTCATGAAAAAGCTGCTTGCCTGTGGCCTTGCAGGCCCCAGCTCAGACCTGAGCTAACCTCAGCTGGTTGTAGTGGAGCATGCTGGTAGGATTTGCTGAAGGAGGCAGAGGCAGGAGGATCCCGAATTTGAGGCCAGCCTAGGAGGCTTGCTAAGGAGAAGCTTCGGCCGGGGCCCAGACACAAAGGGTGGCAGTGGGACCATGGAGGCAGCAGCTGCTGCTCCAAATTGCTGGCTGCTTCTCATCGTGTTGGTGACTGCGGTGATGCTGCTACCTGGGACGAAGGGTTTACTGCTGCTTGTCAGAGAAAAATTGCCAGGGCCATCATGTTACAAGAAAGCATCGGCAAAGGTCAGTTTGGAGAAGTTTGGCGAGAAAAATGGTGGGGAGAAATTGCTGTAAGATTTTCTCTTCTAGGGAAGAACATTCATGGTTCTGAGAGACAGACATTTATCAGACTGTGATTGCTCCAAACCACAGAGGAGGCACACAAAAAAAATTCTGTAGGGAACCATGACCACACCTAACAGCAACTTTGAAATTTTCAAAGGATGATGGGACATGGACTATGGTAAAGCTATTAAGCTGATTAACACCAAGGAAAGATTGGCTTTAGACTACAAACTGCTCAGGACAATTTCAAGATGGCTAGCTGAGATGATCCAGATTCATAGACTACTTGAACAAGGACTTGAGACAAGCCTTGCACTTTCCCATTATGCAGACACTGGACAACAAATAATACAGCTAACTCTCTCAGGACTTGACAATTAACCACAAAAATTTTCTTTTCAGGATTCCCTAAAGATGTCTTCACCCCCCAGAAAGCAGGAAGTAATTTTAAGAAAATGATGCCCACATTCCTAATCTTTGGGATGGGAGGTTTTTGGTTGTTTAATGAGTTATGGATATTGTCATTGTTTATGATGGTTGGTTACAAGTTGTTAATTGTTAATGGTCAGGAAAAAAGCTGAACAAGGAGATTAGATTCAGAGGTTTTGTTTAAAAAAGAAAAAAGAGAATATAGATTTGAGGTAGATCATTGAGTCTACTCCAAGAAAAAAGATAAAGAAATAATAAGATAAATGGGTAGATAATTGAATCTACTCTAAAAAGAAAAAGGGGAAGATATAAAAAAGACAAAAGATAGATTATTGAATCTATTATGAAAAGAAAAAAGAGAATATGAATATGATAAGATAAAAAGGTCAATTTTTGAATCTACTTTTAAAAAGGAACTGCTGTGGGACGGTCTATATGTCAAATTGCTCTGATTGGTCAATAAATAAAACACTGGTTGGCCAGTGGCCAGGCAGGAAGTAGGTGGGACAAGGAGAAAGGAGAATTCTGAGAAGCAGAAGGCTGAGGCAGGGAGACACTGCAGCCGCCGCCATGACCAGCAGCATATGAAGACGCCGGTAAGCCACCAGCCACGTGGCAAGGTATAGATTTATAGAAATGGACTAACTTAAGCAATAAGAACAGTTAGCAAGAAGCCTGCCACGGCCATACAGTTTGTATGCAATATAAGTCTCTGTGTTTACTTGTTTGGGTCTGAGCGGCTGTGGGACTGGCGGGTGACAAAGATTTGTCCTGACTGTGGGCAAGGCAGGAAAACTCTAGCTACAAGGAACTACTTGTTTTAAACAGGATAAATAATGAAATTTTTTTTTGCCTGAGTTTATCAAATGTTACTAGACTGGACATTGTTAATATATATAATGGAGTTTTTTTGTCTGAATCTGTCAAATGTTAATGGACTAGACATTGTTAATGTAATTCTTGACTGTATATATTGTATATACTTATTGGACATAGTTTATTTTGTATTAGTTATAAGCTTTTTTAAATTTTAGACAAAAAAGGGGAAATGTGGTGGTATTGTGTTACCCAAAATATTGTGCACCCTAATAAACTTATCTGGGGTCAGAAAACAGAAAAGCCACTAGATACAGAGGCTAGAAAATGGTGGCACTCACACCTTTAATCTTAGCCTTCTGGAGGCATGGATCTCTGTGAGTTCAAGGCACACTGGAAACAGCCAGACATGGTGACACACGCCTTTAATTCCAGAAAGTGAGCCTTTAATCCCAGGGAGTGGTGGCAGAAAGCAGAAAGGTATATAAGGCGTGAAGACCAGACACTAGAAGCTTTTAGCCTGGTTAAGCATTCAGGCTTTCAAGAAGCAGTTCAGCTGAGATTCATTTGGATAAGGACTCAAAGGCTTCCAGTCTGAGGAAACAGGATCAGCTGAGGAACTGGCGAGGTGAGGAAGCTGTGGCTTGTTCTGCTTCTCTGATCTTCCAGCATTCACCCCAATAACTGGCCTCAGGTTTGATTTTATTAATAAGTACCTTTAAGATTCATGCTACAACTGGGTTCTGAATAGAGTTCTCAAAAGAAGAAAAAATGGCTAAGAAATATCTCCAAATATATTCATGGTCCCTAGCAATTAGGAAAATGCAAATCAAAACAACTTTGAGATTTCATCTTACCCCAGTCAGAATATGAAAGATCAACAAAACAACTGACAACCAATGCTGCAGAGGTGTAGGGAAAAGGCTTCATTTACTGTTGATGGGATTGCAAACTGATCCAGCCACTCCGGAGATTAGTGTGGAGAATCTTCAAAAAGCTAAAAATAAATTTACCACATGACTGAGCCATATCACTCCTTGGTATATACCCAGAGAACTCAACATCCTACTCCACAAGTACTTGCTCAACCATTTTCATTGCTGCTTTATTCACATTAGTTAGGAAACGGAATCAACCTAAATGACCTTCAACCAGTGAATGGATAATGAAAATATGGTACCTATGCACTATGGAATTATATTCAGTTGTAAAGAAGAATGGAACCACAAATTTCACAGGTAAATTCACACAGAATTAGGAAAGATCATATTGAGTGAGGTAACGCAGACCCAGAAAGATAAAGATTGTATGTCCTGTTGTCAGAGGCTTCTAGCTCCAAATTTTTAGATTTGAATATATAACAGCAGAAACTGGAAAAGTATAAAAGGACCACTGCTTAGGTAGTGAGTGGAGGAGCAATAGAGAGTGGAATACCAGGGTACAAGTGATCTATCTGATCAGGGAAATGGGAAAAACAGGGGCTCTAATTTAGGATGGTGAGAGGGAGATAAATACAGTAAGAATGTCTGAAAATGTCATAGGGAATAATATATGCCTACTATAATATCTACCTAAAAATAAACAACTATAATACATGTAAGTCTGTGTATAGTTTAAATGAAGATTTTTTTCATCTGGGTTAACAATGTTCCCTCCAAGAACCAAAGACCACCTAACAAAACCCCAACACCAGGCATGAGGAGCCCCCTTTTGAATTGTTATTCTGGGTTGTCCAAGCAACTCCCAAACATTATAAACTATTGCTTGGTGCACCCCCACCCGAGATGGAAGGTAAGACCCTATTGCTGGTGACACCATATCTTTCACAAGCAGAGTCTAGAAGCTGCTGATCAGGAACTGACCTGCATGCCTTCTCCCTGAAGACTAGTTTTCATGATAACAGAAGGTACCATGCAAGCTTCCAAAGGAGGGAGGCAACCAACAGTCCTACCCAGCTATAATGCCTATGAACCACAACAACTACCAGCATGGCACAATAACCCTAAGGATGCAGTAGTGGCACATATACCTTGGCACTAGCCAGCAACCTTCTAATTGGACCCACTCAACAAGAGGGAAATAATACCTAATCCTGGAAACCTACCCAACTACCCAGGGCCAGGAAAGTCATGGCTCTTGGAGGAGGACCTACAACAACTACTCTACTAAATCAGGACAATCCCTAACTATATCCTAACTATTTGCCCATATACCCACAGTTTACTTGTCTTCACTCCTCATCAAGGAAACTTCTCTTTGCAAAAGAAAGCGGGTATTATAGAAAACCATAACCAATCAAAATGCAGAGTTGTGGAGCAGTCCCAACTAATACATCTACATAACAACTCCTGCACCTAAGGCTCAGGGAACATTTCAGAAGAGAATGTAAGAACTAGAAGAACAAGGAGTTTGCTGTGACAATGCATCTTTCTAGTAATGTCAGAAGCTACAGTCATAAACAATCATAAACATGAGCTGAACAAGAACAATAACAGAAATCGTTTTTAAAGGAAAGAAAATGGGACCTGTTTGGAAGAAGGGTACAACAGCAGTAGGAGAGAGATGAGAGGGGGCAATGGGGCTGAAAATGACCAAAATATTACAGACATGTTTGAAAGTATCAAAGAACAATAAATTAATAAGAAAAATGACTAAATGACTGGATATGTCCAGGATGCTTCATGGTAAAGACAAAAGCCTTTTAGGAAGGATTACAGTCAGCCAAAGGCCATCTAAAGCCCCACCCTCTGCTTCCTATCTGAAAGTAGCTAACAGTACTGGCTTTTCTCCAGCTTACTACAGGGGCAGGAACAGCACCAGAAGGCCCCAGAGGCTTTTCATGAAAGGACACCTCTGAGAAGTTCACAGGGACCAAAGCAGAAGGCTCAGAAGCCTTTTAGAAGAGGTCTTTCATATAAATAATGTCTAAAGTCCCTAAGACACACTTCCCCAATATTAGCTGCAACAGCAGCTAATAAACCAATGTCAAGTAGATCTTTCCAACTGTTCTCTGATCCATACCTAACTCTGATCCTGACTCTGCAATCAATATTTGAATGCTGACATCAATCAATACATAATCATGGTCTTGACCACAAGCCTGACCTATCCTTCACACTAATCATACCCTTGAATCTCATTTTAAATCTGACTCTGAACTCTAACCATGGACCTAACAATGAACTGGATTCTAAACATTACCTCATCATTATCCTGACTGACTCTAACCCCTGGCCTAACTAATGCCAAACTTGATCTTTACTCTAACCTGAAACTAATCCTGACACAGATTCTGAACTAGGTTTAATACAACTCTAACCCTGATGCTAACACTAAGTATAACCCTAATGTTATCTTTAACAACAAATCACTCATTCTTACCTTGACTTTGAAATTGTAATTCACTTCAGCTGACGAAGAACCTGACCCTGGTCTAATACCAATCAGGAATTAACTTTTTTTCTCAGATCTTGATCATAAATCTAACTATAACCCTAGTATTATCCCCTAGCCTAGCCTTAACATTGATGTTATAGGAAAATGTGTCTATATATTATGATCTCATTTTCAAATGGACTATTTTTTTCTTTTGACACAGATCCTACTGTGTAGCCCAGGCTGGCCTTAAATTCATGATCCTCGACCTCAGCCTCAAAAAATCCCTTCTGGGATTATAGGCCCTGTATATTTTGAGGGTGGCAGGCACTTAGAGATGGGGGTACAGGGCCACAGAACACTGGGCAACTAGGGTACAGCAGGTGGGCCAGGGTGAGGGGTTGTGGCAGCTGTCCATACTTGCCGTCTGGTGCTTTGGAACCATTATCTGCTTGGGACTACTGGTAGTCTGGCAGCCTGGATTAAACCTCTTGGCCTTGAATTTTTCCCCACCTTTCCACATTGCTGGTGAGATGTATTTGCCTGGTACAGAAGTCCATGGTCACTGAGGGAAGCTTCTTCCAGACTGAGACCAGTGGTTCCTCATAAAGATACTTTGTAACTGTGCAGGAAGGGCTTGCTAGAGATAAGCTAAACTGTGGTGATATATTGTGTACCATAATAAAATTTGCCTGAAGATCAGAGAACAGAACAAGCCACTAGATTAAACATAGATGCCAGGCAGTGGTGGCACACATGCCTTTAATCCTAGCACTCAGGAGGCAGAGATCTGTCTGGATCTCTGTGAGTTCAAAGCCACCCTAGACTACATGAGACTCAGTCTAGGAGAGAAACAGAGCCAGGCAGTGGTGGCACACACCTTTTTAATCACAGAACTTGAGATCTCATTCTTTGCTTGGAAAGCACACAAGCCTTTAATCCCAGCACTAGGAAGGAAGTAATATGGCTGGGTAGAGAAAGGTATATAAGGTATTTTTCAGGCTGAGGAGTCCTAGAGGTAAGACATGGCAGTGGCTTGTCCCTTTTTCTCTTTGATCTTTCAGCATTTAGCCCAATATCTGGTACCAGGTTTTTATTATAAGACCAATTTAGAGCCAAGCGGTGGTGGCGCACACCTTTAATCCCAGCACTGGGGAGGCAGAGCCAGGCAGATCTCTGTGAGTTCAAGGCCAGCCTAGTCTACAGAGCGACTTCCAGGACAGGCTCCAAAACTACACAGAGAAACCCTGTCTTAAAAAAACCAAAAAAAAGACCAATTTAGCAACTCATGCAACACTAAACATCAAATGTAGTGATGGCAGTGTAAACAGAATGAGGCATAGCAGGACAACTGTCACCCAGGAGACCTCAGAACTTACCAAAGTCAGGCTTTTCCTCTGGCCAATCTTAATGTGCTTTAAATAATAAATATTTGCAAAATCAAAACTGTTTTTCTTCCAATGATGCTACACAGCTGGCTGGAAAATGCTGACAGTGCCCCCTCACAGCTCAGTGTAGTGGCTGTTTTGACGTCAATCCTTACAGAAGACAGAAGACAACACCTATAACACAGGCAGTATTTCACATTGACCAGATGGGTACTGTGCTGGTTTGAAAGAAAATGGCCCCCATAGGGAGTGGCACTATTAGGAGGTGTGACCTTGTTGGAGTAGGTGTGGCATTGTTCTGCTGCCTGAGGATCAAGATGTAGAGCACTCAGCTCCTTCTCTAGCACCAAGTCTGCCTGCATGCCACCATATCCCACCATGATGATAATAGACTAAATCTCTGAAACTATAAGCCACCCCAATTAATGTTTTCTCTTTGTTAGAGTTGCTGTGGTCATGGTGTCTCTTCACAGCAACAGAAACCCTAACTAAGGGAGGTAGTTAATAAGTAGGGGTCCACAAATGAGTAGCTGCATTGTGCATCTTGGCTGCTGGGCCTATTCATTTCCTCGTGACCATGAGCACTTGTGGAAAGAAAGTTGTGGTGTCTGACTAAGGAGAAGAGATACTACCTGGTAACAGAAAAGAAAGCTGATCCATGGGAGCTGGCAGTTCAGGGTGAGTACCTGCCTCTCAAGCTCATCATCCAATGCAGAGTATAAAGTATACAAGTGACAACAGTGCCCCAGTTTCAAAGGACAGAGATGGGGCTGTGAGGACAGACCTAGGGAACCCATGTGTTAGTGAATGTTGTTTAAAGGAACAGAACTTATAGAATGAACACGCATGCACTCACCACGCACGCACGCACACAGATTTATTAGAATGGCTTATAGGCTGTTGTACAAAAAGTCCAACAATGGCTGTCTCACAATAGGAAGGCAAGAAATCTTGAAGTTGTTTAGTTCACTAGACTGTATATCTCAGAAATCCCAATCTAGTGCTGGAATCCTGGGGAATACCTAGAGAGCTGCTAGTCCAGGCTATGTTGGAATCCCAAAGAAGTAAGTTCTAATACCAATGAATAAATGCCTCAGCAGCAGGTTAGATGAACTTGCCAGTAAGGGTGAAAGTCAGCAGGCAAAAAGCAAAGCTTTC